AATGCTAAATCATGGAAGAAGTGAATGCAGTGACAAAATACCTCCTTTCTGAGCTAGAGTTGGAAGGGAAAGGATTTCCATAATTAGTCAAAGAAGTGCCTTATTGTATAAAAGTGGTCATTTCAACCCAAAGAAATAAATTAATGGATTCCAATAACCTTCCAAAACTAAGATGAACTCAAGAAAGATAAATGCTATAAAAGTCAAATTCCTCCATTATCTAAAATACAGGATCTTCACTTAAAAAGCATTCTTACAAGTAACACCCTGCCCCCTACAACAGGCTGGCTCTTTCAGTCATCATCCAGGGGAGCAACACCTGTGGAGAAGAGGCCTATCATTTCTGCCATTATCAACACCAACTATCAACCATCTTCTACTGTCGGAGCAGGTAAACCAGCCTAGTCAAAGCAACAATTGACAAGCAAGTCAAGCCACTGCTAACCACCTCAACCACTACAACTACCACTTCTCATATTTAGGCAGCATGGTGATAACATGTAAGGTCCAGCACTTCCCTGACAGATTCTTCCTTCTCACCTACAACATATGGAGGTTTTACCTAAAAGATAAAGCTGACTTCAGGACTTGATTGGCCTATGTGATTCATCCCTTCTGTGACCACAGCTTCCTTTTCCCTTCCCTTCAGAGGCAGCTAGTAGGATAGAGCATTGGGACTGGAATCAAGAAGTCCTAGGTTCAAATCCAGTCTCAGACACTTACTAGCTGTGTGCCTGTGCAGGTCACTTAACCTCAGTTTCTTTAACTGTAAAATGGGGATAAATAGCACCTACTTTGCATGGTCTTGAGGATCAAATGAGGTAGTATTTGTAAAGTGCTTAACACAGCGCCTGGAACACGGTAGGCACTTGATAAATGCTTAACATCTTCCTTCCTCCTCTTCCTAACCTCCCTCCAGTCAACATGGAGTGGGGGAGTCCAAGAGAAGCTAAGTGCCACTGTATTTGTGCTGAATATCCTTGCTAAGTGGGGGCAAAGCAAACTTGTGTCAAATATTTAATGATTTTCAAGTGCTTCATTTCGTCCTAACATCACCTCAGTGTTGGTGTTACAGCCAATACTGGCCCTGCTCCCAGCCCAACCTAGAAGCCATCATCCAGGTGAAACAAATCCTGTGAAGAAGCCCCCTATCTCTGCCACCACCCATACCAACTGTCAACCAACTGTAAACTCAAGGGTCCTAAGTACAGTAGAAATAGATTTGATATCGTTAATGGAAATGACACTAAAGAAGATGCATTACCATCTCCCTTGCCACAGTACTCTTAAGGAACACGATGCCTTTTCATCTGCCCTGCAGCTAAAACTTCCCAGATGTGTTATCTCCCCTATTAGAATTAATCATTGAAGAGTAGAGATTGTTTTTCTATCTGCATCCCCAGTGCTTAACACTGTGTTCTGCACACATTAAGTGTTTAATAAATGCTTTTTCACTGACATAAAAAAAAGATGCCTCTCTGATCTACCATGTATTTTAAGTTGTTTCTGTAGCAGTCTAGTCTACTTCAGGGGTTGTAATCTGAGGTCCATGGGCTTCTTTTTAAATATTTTGTTAACTATTTCAATAAATTAGTTTCCTTATAGTACTATGTATTTTATGCATTTAAAAACATTCTAAGAAGTGATTCATAGGCTTTATCAGAATGTCAAAACATTCCAGATAATACTAAAAAAAAAAGTTAAGAACCCATAATCCACTTGCTTTCACTCCATATATACTCTTTTATGATCAAGGACATAAATAGCTAATAGGACCTAACAGAACAGTGAAAAGTTAAATAGGTCAGACAGTGACTGAATCCGTGACCCTGAAATCATTAGTACTATGATTTGAAATAAGCAACAGACAACACAAGAACTCACAAGGTCAAATAAAAAATAAATTCTAGAAAACACATTGTTTTTCTCCATCAGCCAAATTTGTGTAATTTACATTATAGGACTAGCCAAACAAAAATACTAACTAAAGCAAAAGGTAGAAATAACAACTTAAGTTCAAAAAGTTCTTGTGACCTTGGAAATCGACATTTTAGTTCTCTACGCTATAATTCCAAATGACAAATAGTATTTATCTACAAAGAACTTTAAGAAACTGACTTGTGTCTTTTAAATATTAAGCTGTCTATGAAGCTTGCTGTGATCATTTCAATTCAAAATAATCTCCCTGGCCTCTAAACTCTTTACAGAACCTGTCAATAACATTTTTTTTTTAAATCACATACTACCTTGGTGTAGTTATGTATATCTGTACATCTTATCTCCTATAATAGATTGTATATGAAGAGCAATTACTAGGTCTTATATACTCTGTATATCCCTACAACACCCTGCTTTGACTTGGCTAGGATCCAACAACAAACAGGTCAATATGTGGTTTCAGCTGTTCTAAGTGAAGGACATATGCTTCCTACTATCACTACTCTTTATTTTTAAGTGTTTACATTAACATACAGCAAATAACCCAGGAACTCATAAGTCTGGAAAACATTTTCATTGACTACTATTACCCTCCCTTTTCCCCTGGCTCTCTACCAACTCTTCCCATATATTTATGATTATGATATGAGGTGGTACAATGGAAAAAGAACTGTTTTAGGGCTAGATTGTTTCTGTGATACCAGGCAACTTTCTCACTCTAAAAAACTGAAGGTGTATACCTCCATTTGCGGAGAGTTTCCACACAAGGAGTTTCCCACCAAACAGGAATAATATTTGTACTAGCCACTTCATTGGTCTGTTGTAAGGAAAATCTATTGCAAACTGTACTGCATTGAGTTATCATCATTATATACACCATTTTGTATATTAGGCTCTCAATAAATATTTGATTACTAATGGGTGAATAAAGAACCACCAGCATTATTTAGTAGTAATAAAATGTTAACTTCAAAATGCCTAAGAAATCTGTTTTAGCAGCCTATGTAAGCCTACTCAAATAACATGCAAAAATACTGCTTTGAGAAACTTTATGCAAATGTGCTTTTAGTTTCCCTAATTATATTACTACAGGATAAGAGCCTTAGAAAAATCCTAATGGAGACCACTGATACTCAAGCAAAAATCTCTTATTAGTTTGAATGCTGTTACTTTAAATTCAAATTCAATTCCATTTATGTACAAATACATTTCTAAACATTATACCTGGGGATGTTCTGATATAGAGTACTGATCCTTAAGTCAAAAAGACCTGGGCCTTAAGGTAGCCAGAAATCTCTTTACCATCAGTACAGAAGTTACTGTGTGACTAAATGGATAAAGTCATTTAACATCTCAATGCCTATGCTGTAGAATATTTTGTTCCATTCTTTCTTTAAATTCAAGGAGGAATTCACTGAAGCATGTATGAGTGTGTGTGGTGGGAGGAGTGGTGAAAGGGAGCAGCAAACCAGACCATTTTATGTGGGTGAGACAACCTTATTGCAACGACAAATCTTGGTCCAGAAGCACAGATGATTAAAATTTTCTTCTGGTCTCAGCAAAGAGATTTCAGGCAGAATATCGATCTCATTGCTTAACTTTTTGGGGGGGGGGGGCGGTAAGGGGCTGGCTCTGGAGGAATATTGGTAAAATGAGTAAGGTGTAAAAAAAAATGATGAAACTTTTAAAAATAATGGGTTCGGGTCCAGCTCTAGACACTTTTTTCCTGACTGAGCATATCACTTAATCCCAGACAACTCTCTAGGAATATAAACTGAAAAGTGCAATACATAAAAGGCAGTGAGAGATTCCTGGGCTGGGGCAAGGGGAAGGTTCCCTAAGTTAATGAAATGGGGCGGGGGGGGGGGGGGGGGGAGATATCCTTTTACCTACATCTTATTTAAGCCAACTTTGTAAAGTAGGTTCTCAAATATTACTATTTATATACCCCAATTTATTTTATCTGTACCTTATATACTTATATATCCCAATGTGTCTTATCTGTTTTATGTATTTTTGTAAACATTCCAATTTATTGGGACATATATATATATACACACACATGCCAATTTACTGGGACATATATTTACATACCCCAATTTGTTTGGATATATACTTATACATACACATACATATATATTCACACATACATACACACAATTTATATATCCGTTTTACAGACGAGGAAACTGCACCTCGGATTACTTTGTGACCTTGGACAAGGCACCTGGCCTTTCGGGAACTCGGTTTCCTTTTGTGTAAAATGAGGGGGTGGGGACTAGATGGCTCCTCTGGTTCCTTCCAGCTTGAAAGCTACATGATCTTAGGACCTGTACTCATAGTCCCACAGGTAATAAACATCAGAGACGAGTTTCAAGGTCAGGTCTTTCCTGACTCCCAAGTCCAGTGAGTTTCCAAAATACCATGCACGCCTTAAACTTTAAATATTAAAGTTTTAAAATGCTTTTCCAGCTGTACGACTTAACTTTTATTTTTTTATAGGCGTTAGACGGCCTGCTCTCTCAGATCTCTCCCACCTGTGGACTGACGGCTCGTTCTAGGATCGGCTTGGGATCCCATTGAAACAAAACGCCGCACCGAGCAGTCGCTTGAACGCTGGCCGGTTCGGTGTGTCACGGTGCAGAGCCGCGCACTCCCCAGTGCGGCCAGACCAAGAGCGGAGGAGCATCCCAAGCAGCCCAGGAGAGGCTACGTTCCCAGGCCTTGGCTTACAGTCACCAACTTTGGCTCCACGTCCTCACACGGACTGTGGCGGGGATTCTGTCGCCGGCTAACCCGGGGAGCGGGCAGCCTTGCCGACCAGGAAAGTGCCTTGGCCCATTCTCTCCCCCCAAGCCCCATAAATAAGCCGGGCCGGTGCTTCCAGGCAGCCGCCCCCCACCCTCTCAGACCCGGCCTCAGGAGAAGACAGCCCTGGAGAAGAAGGGCCCTCCGGGACGAGGGGGTCCCGGGAAGCCGAGGCGGCCTCGGAGCCCTAGGGCCCAGGCCGCCGAGCCTCGGCGAGCGCCACAGGATCGGCACGGGTATCGGGGCACGCTTACCACTCCGGCAGAGGCGAGCGAGGCCGTGGGAGGAGATCAGTCACGTCCGTTACCGGGGCCGCCGCCGCCGCTGCAGCCGCCGCCTCGCTCGGGCCGGTTCGCCTCACGCGCGCACGCACCACCCAACCGGAAGTGGACGCACGCACCTCCCTCGTCCGCGCTGCCGGCTCCACCCGGACCAATCCCCGGAGGTCCCGCCTCCGACGCCCGGCCTCCTCGGGCGGCCATTGGCCCGATAGGCACGTAGCCCTGATTGGCTGGAAAGCGCCACGTCCCCACGAGCTCGCGGAGTGGCGTGGACCCGATTCCCGCCCAAGCGCTTTCCCTGGAACCGGGTCCTACCCGCTGGCCGTCTGCTGCTCCTTCCTTCGCTCCCTACACGAGCCAGGGGACTGGGGTCTTTGCGTGGACGTCCTCAGGGGGGATGCGCTTTAAAAATCGATTATGAACCTTATAAGAACCTTATCAGCTATTGATACTTCTTTGCGGTCCTTGGCCTCCAGTCCTCAGGTGCCACCCGGCCTCTCGTTTTGTTGTTGTTCAGTTTGACAGTTTTCTTGGCAAAGACACTGAAATACTTCGCCATTTCATTCTCCAGCCCATTTTGCAGATGAGGACACTGAGGCAAACAAGGATTAAGTGACTTGCCCAGGGTCACACAGCTACCAAGTGTCTGAGTCTGGAGTTGAACTCAGGTCAGCGCTCTACATCCACTGTGCCACCTGGTTGCCTCATGTCCTCTTATTTCACAGATGATAAAAATGAGGCTTAGGGTGGTATAGTAACCTAATTCCGGGTCACACGGTAAGGGGCATTTGAACTGAATTTGAACCCAGGTCGTCCCACCCCAAATTTAGGGTCTTTGCTATGCTTGGAGCTCTCACCTCATTGCATATCCAAGACCTGAGAGATGGATGAAGCATATTCATTTTAATTTGTTCCGTTAAGTTCAGAAAGTTTATTGAATTTTAAATATATATATATATATATAAATATAAAATAAAAATTTTAAATTTCAATTCAATTCAACAAGTATTTATTGAATAGTTGGGCCAGCACAAAATTACCATGTTGCATATCTGTGACCTAAGAGTTACATGAAGCATATTAATTTTAATTTGGTTCCACTAAGTTCAGGGAGTGTTTATGGAATACTTGGCCCAGCAAAAAAGGAGAGGAGGGAAAAGTAACAATTAGTAAATGCATTCACCTCTTTCTATTGCTTCAGGTTTTTGTATGCAGGCTGGATAAGCCCCGCCCCTTCCCCAACCCAGCCCCAGGAATGTTGTGAAGGACATTGTTGTTCAGGTACAGGTTGGAATAGATGACTTCTGAGCCCCTTACAATTTTGAGATTTTAAAATTCTAGAAAATAAATGCTTATTGACCGACCGGTGTATGTTCAGGTTCTTATAGCACAGGAGTTTACAATTTAATTGGGACAAGATATGTGAAAAAAGTTTAAAAGTTATAAAAGGCAGTGTACATCAAGTCCTCTGCTGACGAGTCATTTGAGGCTGTGGGAATGAAGCTAACTGGATTCTAAAGGCTACGTTAGCAGAGTGCAAGTTTTGGAAGTTTTCCTCAGGCCTGGGAACAGTAGACCAGGCTAGCTAAGTTAAGAGCTCATTCATTCAAGGTTATCCCTCAGATTATGATTTTTTTTTTTGGCCATATGAACTCATGTCAGTCAAGGGGGAAGCTTATGAGTATTCCAAACTTACAGTCTTGATTGAGTGGAAGTGGGACAGAAGCGAAAGAAATAGCTGGATCTAAGTTTAGCTCCTGTTGCCGTTTACTGAATACGAGGAGCATGTACTCAGTTTTTAAACCTTTGTAACTTTCCTTTGTTGTTTGTTAAACCCCTGGAGTTAGTAGCAATGAAAAAAAAAAAAACAAAACCACCCAACAGAGGTGCAGTGCACATATTTGCACTTTTTTTCCCCAGACTCCAAGGTGGGAGCAAAGTTGGAAACTTGGCATTGTAATTTTTCCTTTTGTTTATCTTGTACCCCGTGTCTCTCTTTCCCTGTATTAGCAATAAATACCAATAGAAAATCTAAGAAAGGTTTGGTTGGTTATTATCAGGAGAGGGTTGGAAGCATGGTTGCCCTTCCAAATGAGACCTGATTGAGAACTCCAGATGGAGAAAGGAGGAACAAATAAAAACTAAGAGAAAACAGACAAACCACACCCTGGGTCTTGAATATGTATTTTTTTTTTTTAAGTTGGGAGTCCACACCATATTTTGAAAGTGCTTCCAGATGTTCAACCCCGACAGGACAGTCCTCTGTTCCTCTCTAGGCCCCCAGCTCCCATGATTAAATGCAAAGATGAGGCATTCAGGCAGCAAATTCAGGAATTCAGAAAAAGGAAACTATAGTAACCTTGAGTCATCAAAGCTTTCATAAGAATGTAGGACTTGAATGGAAACTTGAAGAAATTTAATAGACAATTTATTTCTGTAGATATTTATCAAATTTCCACTGTGATAAGAACATTGTGCTGGCTCTGGGAAAGATCCATTTTGGTTAAGGATGGAAGTTGCTTCCCTAAAGGACCTTACAATCAGTTAAGTATGTATGCGTCTAACACATACACAAATTACACAATAATATTTGTATAGGAGAGATGTATAAGCTAATTAGTAAGTAAAGTCTATGATAGGAATTTTCAACTGGGAGAATCAGTGTAGGCTTCCTGAAGAAGTTGACATTGAGTTGGTCTTTAAAGGATTGTAGGAGTTTGGGGGTAGGGAACCATTTTAAGAATAGGGAAGAGCATGATGAAAAGCATGGAGTTTCAAGTTAGAATGCTTGCTTTATTTTTTTTCCTTTAAAAACATTATATAATATAAAAATATTAACTTATGTGGAATGACTCTCTAGGAAAGGGAAGGGAGAATTTTACTCAGTATGCAGTATTTCCTACATCCACCCTGGACCAGTAGAACCTGTTTGTAGCAACTCCAGATTTTCTTCTTGGCCCAAGTGTGCAAAATCTAGGGTGCGCTTTCATAGCTGTGAATTGGGGGGCCTTCTATAGCACTAACTATTTTCTCAGTCCTCATGTAGATTCAGTGATAGCCTAATGCTCCAACTTGTGTCATTGCCTCAAAAACTGAGTACCCTCTAGGGAGCTGAGCTTGCACTCCCAAATACGATGCCTCCTTTTCTTGTCCAGTATCACTTCTTGAAGACAGTCATCTCACCACTGTGCTCATCACCACTCATCCAGGGCAGCTGGGCTAAGGGTTGGGGAAGAGTTCAGTGCACTATATTTGTTGGTACTGATGGAATGTGGCGCCCTAGAATGAGTGTTGGGTTAAAAGTCAGAAGCTGATTTAAATCTCAGCTCTGTCTTTCCAATCTTTCCAATGCCTCATCTTTTAAAAGTTAGGAGGTTCTCTTATGTCCCTTTCAGCTCTACGTCCGTGTTCCTATGACTATAGGCTTTCTAGCAGAGTTACTTCAATCAATCAACAAGCATTTTTTAAGCCCCTTTGTGTGTTGGACATTATGCTAGGTGTTAGGGATACAAATAAAACAAAACAATTTCAACTCACAAGGAGTCTACATTCGGATGGAGAAAACAAGGAAATAGAGAAGTATAAATAATTACAAATTAGGTGCAGGAGGAGGGCTCTAGCAGTGTAGGGGAACAAAACAGGTTTCTCTGATAAAGTGGTGCTTGTGCTGCTTTTTAATGAAAGGAAAGAATTCTTTAAGGTGAAGGTGAGGAGGCATGCATTCTAAGTTTGAGTAACAGCCAGTACAAAGATACAGAGACTGAAGTTGGACTGTCCTATGTCGGGAGCAGAGAGGAGGCCAGTTTGGCCATATTTCGGAGTGAGGGAGGGGCAGCAATATGCAATAAGGGTTGGGGCCAAATTGTGAAGCGCTTGCAAAGCTAAAGAGAAGAGTTTATATTTGATTCTAGAGATGATAGAAAGCCACTGGAGTAGACTGAGTGGGGTGGTGGCATGATTGTATCTGTGCTTAAGAAAACTCACTTTGGCAGCGTTGTAGAGGGTGGACTGAAGTGGGGAGAGATTTGAGGCAAAGAGAGAAAGAGGAGGAGGCCATTCGAATAATCTAAGTGAGAGCCTGAGCTGAGGTGGAGAAAAGGGATTGGATCAGAGGAGGGATGTTGTGGAGGTAGAAACAATCTTTGGGAACTGTGATTGGCTATGTGGAGGGAAAGAGTGTGAGGAGGTCAGGATAATGCCAAGGTTACAAACCTGAGAAACTAAAAAAATGGTGGTTCCTTCCACAGAAGAAGTTTGGCAATTTCCCTTTCTCTTTTATTTCTCTATTCCTCCTTCCCTCTTTACCTCTTCTCCAGGTTTTTCTCTTAATCTCTCCTATTCTCTGTCTACATTTCTTTGTTTTAAATCCTCATTTGTTTTAAACAAAACTAAGAATAGTTGTTTCTAGGGTTTTTCTTTCTTTTTTCCAATGGGGAAGAAGGTACGTAGGAAGATGGAATAAAGTGTAGAATAACAAAAAAAGAAAAGAAAGAGGCATCTTTGAAAAAAAAGAAATGTAGAGGAGAAAACAGAAGGAAGGTCAGAAGGAACCACAGACAAGCAGGACAGCTTTGAAAGCTACAGTTTAAATTTATCATATACTTAAAAAGAAAAGCAAGTTGTACATGATGATAGAGATCTTGATTAGGATTTAAAGAGAATTACTCAATAATTGTTATGGCAATTGAAATTAAACAATTTAAATGTAATTACAACATAAGTTTTGTTGGCTTCCCCTCCTCCATTTTCCCAGCCTTTCTTGTATCTCCTCTTCTCCCCCCCCCCCATTTTTAGACCTTTATCTTCCTGTTAACTCTAACTAGGGAAACACTGAAAACAAGTAAGAATTCCTGGGGGCCCCAAAGACAAACTTCATTTACAGGGTAACTACCTAATTCTGATCTCCATATCTCAGTTTTACAGCCAGGAAGTTGACTGTACTGGTGGAAAGCCCAGGTGTCCTGGATTTCTGTGGGTGCATTTTCCCCTAAAGGCATACCTGTTTCAATCAGTGGGGCTAGAAAGAGTGTGGAAATTATCTGAGTTCCCTACATGGCTTAATATA